TTGACATTTCAAAACTACTAACAGAGAGTTTAATTCGAATTAAACATAAAGTTACTGTGAATTAGCTTCGCTTAGCGTTCACATGGAGAATTTAATGCGAATTAGTTTAATTCGAATTAGTTTACTGCGCATTAAATTACTTCGCATTAGCTCCGTGTGAACACTAAGCGAAGCTAATTCGAATTAAATTTTGAGGCATGCATAATGGCAACATGAGGTCAAATTCCACATGTCCGTGGTCAGCTTGAAGTATTTGTGCTATTTTTGAGTGAAAAACTAAGGAAAATTGTGTTAATCACTAAAGTGTTTGTACAGACACTGTAACATTATGTCAAATGCATCTGCTCCTGCATAAGGTGACGTGATTTGCAAATGACGTCATAATAGCCTTACTGACGCCTGGCCGTAGAAGTAGAATTTTAATTCGCATTTGTTTACTTCGCATTAGCTGTGTGAACGCAATTTAATTCGCATTATTTTAATTCGCATTAGTTTACTGTGCATTTACTTCGCACTAATTTACTGCGAATTAAACTCGTCGTGTGAACAGGGCATAAAATGCTATATGATAAAATGTATTACAAAACAGAAGAATTTATTTTTCATTTTATTGGCAAAAAGTTAAAATTTTTTTTATTTTAATTTTAAAGATAATTTTTTTAATCACAGATATACTTTCCATTTCTTCCTGCTTTATCCATTGAACAACCGTGTAAAAGTAGGTAATGTCCTCGAATGTATTTTTCAAACGAAGTAGCCAACATCTTCTTTGTAAATGGCTACCGGAAGTGATATTTGAATACTAAACTACAAAACAAATGAGGTATTTTTTTTCCGCAATACCAACTTTTTATTTTATCCAAATGGATTTGCCAAGATTTCAATTTTATATGGCCTAAGAAATATTCCATAAAGAAAAGTTAAAATTTTTGATTTATTTGATCACTTCCTGTGACAACCGGAAGTAAATTTAACCCAAATGGATTTGCCTCTCATCAAGATACCACTCCTTAACCGTTACTGTTTACGAGATCTCTCTATGATAACTTCTCATTTTGAGGTCAGGAAATCACGCGACCTGAAATAAATTTTACAAAGATATTTGACGTTTCTGTAGACATTTGCAGTCTAAATAACATATCCAAAAATTATTACAAGTACATTATCCATTAAAAGTATTTATGGGAAAGAAAAAATACTCAAATTATGTAGTTTTTCTCTCATAACCAGAAGTTGTCGTTTTTGTTTACAGTTGGACTGATATATTTCGAAACTACGAATAAGATGCTATAATGTGATGCAAAAAACATTCATAAAAGAAAAATTAAAATTTTCAATTTCTTAGATCACTTCCTGTGACTACCGGACATACTTGCCAACCTCCAGGATGTAAAAATCTGGTCATGACCAGATTTGGGAAGTAAAAAATCTGGTCATAATGCGTAACGGCATTCACGACATATTTACCATGATCAAATTTTATACATATATACAAAGTATTTGTGTATTGAGAATTCTTTTATTGAAAAAGGATTTAATTTACTATGACAAAAAATTCATACATAATTTGCTTTAATTTACATGTTAAAAATGAAAATTGAAGGTTTCATATTTCAGTATTGACCTATAGTAAATGTGCATATTTTTATAAAAGCCTTTTCAGTTTCTGCTAAATTTGAAAGTATACCAATTTCAGTTTTGAAGTTGTTTTTCCTCTCTCTTAATTAATTTACTACTGCATGCAACATGTTTTAAATTTGAAGTTAGGCCTACACTGTCTTTGATCACTTTATTTTATCTAGAATGAAAGTTTTTTTCCCTTGATATGTACATAAATATCGTTTCTCTTTTTCTTGGTTCAATCAGAGACGTGTTTGGTTCAATTTGTTCCTGTTAGCCCTGATAACGATCTATTTCTATCGGAAGCCATTTTAATTGACTTCAAACATTGATTTGTCAAAACAACACCCAGTTAATTGTTTACACCTGCACAGATAATTAATCCATCGGCATTGTTTACGTAGATCTAAGCTTGGGTTGTAACTGGAAGTTAAAAGTGCAACCTAATTTAAGAACCAAATCCGGAAATCGGGAGATTTTCAGGTTGTTCGGCAAAAATCGGGTGATAAGCATGACCCACCGGGTCATAAAAAATAATCGGGTTACGAGTTGAAAAATCGGGTGTGACCCAACGAAATCGGGTGAGTTGGCAACTATTCTACCGGAAGTGACGGCGTACAATGTTAACCCAAATGGTTTTGCCTACTCATCAAGATCTACCACTCCTATAAGTTTGGTGTCTTCATTTCTTACCGCTTACGAGATCTCTCTATGATAACTTCTCATTTTGAGGACAGGAAATCACACAACCGGAAGTGAATTTTACAAAGATTTTTGACGTTTCTGTAGACATTTGCAGTCTGAATAACATATCCAAAAAATCATTACAAATACTTCATATATAAAAAATATTTATGGGAAAGAAAAATACTGAAAATATGCATTATTTCTCTTACAACCGGAAGTTGTTGTTTTTGTTTCCACTGGGACTGACATATTTCAACACTGCAAGTAAGATGCTATAATGTGATGCGAAAAAAGTTTCAAAAAACAAAAGTTGAAATTTTCGATATTTATGAACACTTCCTGTGACGACCGGAAGTGACGGCGGACGACCTTAACCCAAATGGATTTGCCTACTTATCAAGATCTATCATCCCTGTAAGTTTGGTGCCTTATTCTCTTACCGTTTCTGAGATCTCACTCGGATTAGATATTTTTTTAAAAAGCGGAAATCGAACAAATCTGACGACCGGAAGTGAATTTTGAAAAAATGAAAAAAACGTTATGGGGTATTTCCATTCTCTATCATCCCTGAAAATTTTAGGAAAATCCATCCAGCCATCTCTGAGAAATCCTGCCGACAAGATTTGGGGAAAAAAATTATAATAATAAGAAAAAAAAGTAGAATCACTATAAGGTCTTCCGTCTGAAACGGAAGACCTTAATAATAAGATGAAAAAACAGTAGAATCACTATAAGGTCTTCCGTCTAAAACGGAAGACCTTAACTAGTGCACCGGTTTTTGATTTCGATGAACGGTGTTGCCATGGTTAGTAAAAATAGAAATTTTTGAGAAATTCCTTTAAAACGCTAATCCTCCTACAGTTTTTGTCTGATTTCGATATAACTTGGCACACAAGTAGACTACACTAAGATACATAAACTAGTGCATCGGTTTTTGATTTAAATGAATGTTGTTGTCATGGTTACTCACTAAAAATTTTTTGAGAAATTCTTTTAAAACGCTGCTCCTCCTACAGTTTTGGTCTGATTTCAGTATAACTTTGCACACAAGTAGACTACACTAAGATACATAAACTAGTGCATCGGATTTTGATTTCAATGATCGGTGTTGCCATGGTTACTAAAAATAGAAATTTTTTAGAAATTCCTTTAAAGCATAACCCCTCCTACCATTTTGGTCCGATTTCAATAAAATTTGGCACACATGTAGACTACACTAAGATGCATTATTCTATTTATTGCTGCCTTTTGCAAAGTTTCAAATCCAAGTGCTATTTTTCCTTTGTTACACAATGATCGGTGTTCATCAGAGACTAAAAATAGTAAAATTTTTTAGAAAAAATTTTCCAAATTTAGTTTTAAGCAGTTACCCTAGTGAGTACCATTTTGGTAAGATTTCAATAAAATTTGGCACACATGTACATCTTACACTAAGATCATTATATCTATTTATTGCTGCCTTTTGCAAAGTTTCAAATCCAAGTGCTACTTTTCCTTTGTTACACATACAGACTAGTAGAGCTATACAGTCTCATCAGAGACTTCTGGCTCTGAATACCCTTGCTATAGGAAAAGTGTACAACACCATGAATCTATAAATTTAGGAAAAACATTTTCATCAAATGTTAGTTTTATTACTTAGTTACTCTAGTGAGTGATTCTAGATGACTCTAGTAAGCTTTTCTGATCAAAGTCTGTTGTTGTCATAATCATATCACATCTTCATCTTATTCTCAAGAATCACTAGACTAATATAATTTCAACCAAACTTGGCTCAGAATATCCTTAGGTTAAGTTCAAATGAATGGCTGTGATCAAAGTTTTGCATAGAAATATATAGGGAAATTTTAAAAATCTTCTTCTCAAGAACAACATTGTCATATTTGGTTATATTTAGTAGTATTGATTCAGAAGCATCCTCATGTAAGGTAATTTATTCAAATAATGCTCCCCGATTGTGGATGGGACTACAATAGAAGATCACGCATAAAAAAAAGGTCTTCTTAAGACTGGAGTAGTGAAAGAAAGTTGAAAGGATTTCCTCAGTTTTGGTGATTTCAATATAATTGGCACACAAGCACAATAAATCAACCTCCCTCCGGTTTTTAATTTTGATGTTCGGGTTGATAGGGTTTATATGTGAAATCATTTATTTATATATTCAATATAACTTGGCACACAAGTAGACTTTTTAGTGCATCGGTTTTTAATTTTGATGCGGTGTTGCCATGGTTACTAAAAATGTGGAAATTCCAATGCTATTCCCTACAGTTTTGGTTGATTTCAATATATCTTGCACACAAGTAGACTACATAAGTATCCAATACATTTTATATGAGCGGTGTTAAATGTGTAAAAATATTTCCTGTGAAATTCCTTTAAAACAGAAAGTTTTGGAATAATTTAAATTTCACAAATGATAACCAAGTGTATGGTTTCAATTTTTTAAATAGTATATTACTAAAAAACAAATTGAAACCTATAAAACATACTCCATAAATTCTCTGATTTCAATATTCTTGGCACACAAGTAGACTACACAAGATTGAAAACTTTTTTTCATGGTTACTAAAAATAGAATTTTCACAATATTTTATTTTTTAAAAATATCCATATTTACAGTATATAGATTGTTGTTGAGATTTTCCATGGAAAATTATCAGTCTATTATAATGCGTTTTTTTTTCTTTTAGATATAATAAGGGCATTTAGTGATTTGGCCAATGAGAGCTTGGCGTTAATCATTGTGGTTGAAGTGTGTCTCTTGAAAAATGATGAAGAATATAAAAACAAATTTTCCAATCTTCTGAAGTCTGATGCAGCGAGAGGAAAATGCAGAATACGGCCTTATTACATCTCAGTTTTATATAACCATGAAAACTGTTGTGAAATTCAGAGCAGCATTAAGGAATGTTATAAAAAGACAGGCTTAGAAAAAAAATTTGTTGGTTTTAACCTTAAGGGCAACCAAACTGATGTGGAGAAAGTGATTACGGAAAAACTGAAAAAACGTCTACCTCTCAATCCAGCCTCTGAATCAAGGCACACATATAATTCAAAATTAACAACGAATGGAAATTATAAAAGTTGTGCTTCGACAGACTGTTCTGTGAATATGGTGTCAAATTCTTATCCAGATTATTCAAGAATGGAAAGCTATATGAGCAGTAACAGTGAAACACCCCTTTTCATTTGAAAACAACCTGATCGAATATCATTTGAAGATTGTTCAACCATACGAATGCTCTTTAGCCTTTTATATTGTGTGTAATATATTTTTTTATTTTTGGACTAAGAGAATAGATCCTGGGAAAAGAATGGAGGCATACAAGGTGAGAAAAATCCCCCGCTCTGAGAAAAGACATTTCTCAATTCTACAAGTTAGATTTTTCAATATTATATTGTTTATATCATCTTTTACACATTTAATTTTGTATTTCATTGTTTTAATATTTTATTAATAATTTATTTTTCACTCATGTTTTTAAAATATGTGAAAACAAAAAAGAAAAAGCTTCATGTATGATTCGAACTCTCTCCAAAGCGCAGGGTTTAGTCCAAGACCGACCGCTTTAACCACTACGCTACGAAGTATATACATTATCGACATCTGTCAGTGTGATTTAAATGAACGGATTTGTTGAAACGTAAATTTTTTCAGAAATTTTCAATTTTCATATAGAATGGGTTCAGATTCCATTTTTTGGACAAATGAAATAGATTTAACATTTACATTTCCATCATTTAACCATTAACGAAGAATGGAGACTTGACCCATTCATGTTCAAAATTCATTTTTTCTAGCTATAGTTAAGCCATTTTCCACTAATTATGCTTAACTGTCAAGTTTGAAATAAAGATTTTCAAATAATAAGTCTTCAGTAAAATAAAATGATAAAATGTTTTGAAGATGACATTACTTGGAACATGATCTTAGAAAAATTTAACTTTTCTGTGAATATTGAAAATTGAGAAACATTTTGTCCCAGAGCGGGGGATTGTTCACGCCTTATACGCCCTCTTTCCTTATGTCTAAATTAGATCAAGGTTACAACTCTTGCAAAATACCAGTAATACTGTATACAGGGTTATTTTTGCCCCGTGTTATTTTCGCCCTTTCACATCTGAAAACAAGTTTGCCCCGTTTTAAATTCGCCCAAAAAGATTTTTGTTTAAGATATTATGCAGTTTACTTTGAATTCGCCCCGTTTTAAATTCGCCCACGCCAGAGTAGGGCGAAAGGGGTGAAAATTAAACTGGGGCAAAAATTTCCCTGTATACAGTACAGTGGACCCTCAGATATCCGGACGCCAGATATCTGGATGCTTCATTATCCTGACGATTTTTCATGGGAACAGAATTTTCCTATGCTATTGTATCTTGTTTAAATGGTAATTCAGATATCCAGATGCTTCACATATCCAGACAAATTGACTAGGAACCAAAGCGTACGGATAAATGAGGCTCCACTGTATATGTATATGACCTAAATCATGCATATACAGTTCTAAATATTAGAGGCATATACCTGCATTTGCTACTGATGTTGAATTGAATGTTATTTTTATGGTTGTGCAATTATGAATTTTGTAATTTATTTAAAATCTGTCATCTCTTAAAATGATTTACAAGTTTTTAAGGAACTACAAAAGAGTAAAAAAAATTATAAATTTTAAAAAGAATCCTCTTAAAGAAACATATATAGCTATACATGTATTTTAATTTTTTTTTAGGAATTTGTAATAAAACCCATTAATTTCACAGAAGCCTTTGTGGGAGTGTGCAATAAACAATAACTCTGGATAGAGGAGGTTAATATGCAAATCAGATTTCAGTTTTTAACATGTTTAAGGGTTTTACTGTAAACCAGCTATTATTTGCATAATTGTTAATTCATTTACATGTAGCCTTTGTCATACAATGTGATCTTCAAACTTTACACACAGGTCATTAGAGATGACTTTTGCCGTAATTTCTGACTTTCAAGCATATGCAAACTTATCTGTATTTTAAACTATGACCATTTCAGTTGACTTTAGCCTTGACATTGTCTCATTATAGATTTAAATTTATGAGGTTGCTCTCCAATTTCAAGTCAGAAAGGATGATATGTTTTCAAGTATTTTGAGAGGCTGATGATCCTTTGACAGGGAAATTGGGAAATCATAATGTTGAAAATCTTTGTTTTTAATAATTTTTTGTATATAATCATTCTGCAATTTCTCTTTGACAGATTAGGAGACAGTATATTGAAAATTAAGGACCTCAGGTAAACAGGGTACATGGAGTTTTAAATTCTTGGGTATTCAGAGTTATCTGCCCAAAGACATATTAAATAAATTGAATCTAAAGTGTATGTGTTACTCAATTTGTCTTTCCTAACATTTTATTAGACCAAGAAATTTTTTTGAATATTTTTTGTAAATGTCATCTAAATTTAAGCAGCAGTGATTTCTGTTCAAGAATTCATTTTGGCACTGAACATTTCCTGAGGTATATAAATATATGGTACTTAGATTATGAAGTAGATAATATTGTGAAATACATTGCCTTAGTATTCAAACTTATCCTTGATATTACCCACTTTCTCAATGTCCAAAAAAGAACTCCCCCAATATTAGTGTAAGGACATATGCAAGGTACCTTACCTACTGATAATTTTTCAAGATATTCTAAATTTAAACTTGTAATGCCATTACATGTTCCTAGACAAAAAGTCAGCATGCGTTACCAGGGGTTTTGAAAAAATATAAATTGTGAAAAATTTTGCATTATTCAAAGAAAAATGTACAAAAATTTCAAAACATAAATTACAGATTTTTTTTTTCATCAAAAATTGTTTTAGAAGAGGTGTACAAATACATATATAGACATTAAAAGTATTGCCACAGGTCCTTCATTTAGTGAAATTCTTCAACTCCAGGGAAGAATCCAATAAAGTTCAAACTACGTTACTTATGACCTTAATGATAACTTTCACTTTAACATTTGATCAGGTCCATGCTTTCCCCCAACTTTTTATTATGAATAGGTTATAACATGGTTATTAATGAAATTTTAAGCAGTGTGATCTTGTCTATTTTAAAGGGTGATTTGTCAAATAAAAATTCAATTTACATGTGGTTCATATATTATTTGGATAAAGTACAGTGTCTTCTCATTTTTTATTCAATCTGAATAATTTAATTTGATTAAAAGTGTACAGTAAGACATACATGTAGAATTCATGTATCTTGCTTGAATGTATTGCAGTACGTAGTCTGTTTGTAACTAGCTTGTTAAGCAATATGTATTGTATTGGTCAGTTTATTAAATAAGTCCACAACATTGTTTGAGTTCCATTCTATTTCGGATCCAAAGATCCAGCACATATGATTAAATGACAGCAAACTTCTACAGACTGCTTTTTTGGAACAGGAATAATTCCTTTTGTTATACCTTTAAAAATGTGTTCCTGTACAATTCTATACGAAAAAAGTCTAACATTTTGAATGTTTTGCTGAGTGGGGATAAAAAAATCGATGGAGCGCTGAGTGAGATGTTGGACCGCTTACGTCACATAATGGGTGGAGCATAATCTCATTTTCATTCGTTGGTGTTAAACAGTGACAGATCTGATGTAACATCACAGAATACAGTATAAATGCATGCATGTAAAAATAATATAGATTAAATATAGATTAAAATTAAAAGGTATAACAAAACTTTTATTGACAAAGTGCTCGGGCAAAATGCGTTTTGTCGGACCCTCGAAGCAAACTGTCTGCTTCAGGCAGACAGTTTGGTTCTTGAGTCCGACAAAACGTATGTTGCCCTCGAACGTCAATAAATGCATATTGTTATACCTTTAAAAATTTGTTCCTATACAAATCTATACGTAAAGAAGTCTAACATTTCTGATGTTTTGCTGAGCGGGCATAAAAAACCCATGTTTGGACCGCTGAGTGAGATGTTGGACAGGTCGACGAGATGTTGGACCGCTTACGTCACAGAATGGGCGGAGCTTAATCTCATTTTCATTTATTGATGTTCAACAGTGACGGACCTGATGTTACACCACGGAAAACAGTACAAAAGACATGTATGTCAAAAAAACAAAAAAATAAAATGAAAGGTAAACAAAACATTTATTAACTGAGTTAATTCTCAGGCAAACGCGTTTTGTCGACCCTCGAACCTAACTGTCTGCCTTCGGCCTAATGATCTTAGGCAGTTTGGTTCTTGGGTCCGACAAAATTTTTATTAAGGTCAGACGAGACGTTCCTCAAAATCTGTTTTGTATATCTTTGTAATGTATGAAAAATATTCAAAATTTTCATAACATTCTGATTTCTAAAGCAGTTTCTAGACGTTTCTAAAAAATCCAAACACTTAAACATTTGAAATTCGAAAATTATTTTTCTTCCCAAAAGGATTATATAAGAAAAACTACCCGTGGTATCTTGCAGAAATGCCTGGTAAGGTACCTCAATTTTTTGTGAGTGAACATGTTTAAGTAGCAACACTTCAATGACAAAGTTTTTTAACTCTCAGAAAAAATTATCTATTATTAAGGAACGTCTCATCTGTCCTTAAAGATATGTGTGCCGTGTTAAGCAGTATTTTTGCACAGCTGAAACCGAACAAAAATTTCTGAATTATGATAAGCTATCAAAAATGAAGCATTCTTGCAAATTCGACGAAATATTATTCGGTATTAACAAAGTACTGGTCGGGAAAAGAACACGATATTCTCATGCATATTTATAAAGGACTGACGTTTATCCTGGATCTGCGCATGTGCGCGGGAAAAGCATCGCGAGAATCATCAGGTCGAGGAAAATATTTTTGTGACGTCTGTTCAGTGAGGAACCAATATGACTGACAAATATACCAATCAGCTCAATGAGTTGCATTTAATGCATTTATGGGTTACTACATAAAATACTACATGTGTTTTTCGAAAAGGCTAGTTTTTTAGCTCTACTGGTCAGAGACCAGAAGAGCTTATGCGATAGTAATGTGTCCGGCGTCCGTCCATCTGTCTGTCTGTCCGTCTGTCTGTAAACAATTTTTCAAAACGCTACTCCTCCTACAATTTTAGTCTGATTTCAATATAACTTGGCACACAAGTAGACTACACTTAGATACATAGAATAGTGCATCGGTTTTTAATTTCGATGAACGGTGTTGCCATGGTTACTAAAAATAGAATTTTCTGTGAAATTCCTTAAAAACGCTACTCCTTCTACAGTTTTGGTCTGATTTCAATATCACTTGGCACACGAGTAGACTACATTAAGATACATAGAATAGTGCATCGGTTTTTGATTTCGATGAACGGTGTTGCCATGGTTACTAAAAATAGAATTTTCTGTGAAATTCCTTTAAAACGCTACTTCTTCTACAGTTTTGGTCTGATTTCAATATAACTTGGCACACAAGTAGACTACACTAAGATGCATAGAATAGTGCATCGGTTTTTAATTTCGATGAACGGTGTTACCATGGTTACTAAAAATAGAATTCTCTGTGAAATTCCTTTAAAACACTTCTCCTTCTACAGATTTGGTCTGATTTCAGTATAATTTGGCACACAAGTAGACTACACTAAGATACATAGAATAGTGCATCGGTTTTTGATTTCGATGAACGGTGTTTACCATGGTTACTAAAAATAGAATTTTCTGTGAAATTCCTTTAAAACGCTACTCCTTCCACAGTTTTAGTCTGATTTCAAAATAAGTTGGCACACAAGTAGACTACACAAAGATACATAAAATAGTGCAATGGTTTTTGATAAATACAAACCAGTAGAGCTACAGTCTCGACAGAGACTTCTGGTTTAAATCGCTCTCGGAAAGATTTGATGCATTTTCCCAAGCATTTACACGCTTAATGCATTATGCACATTTATTATCTACTAATTCCATGCTCATATTTGCCTACAAAATGATTAACAATGATAAAGATTAAAGTTTTCCCCACTCCATTGTACAGGTCCGTTTATTTAGAGTTTCACCGTGCTGTACTGCTAGTGAAAAGACAATTGCACGTGATTATTGCTCGGTACAAAAAGCAACCAACTCTGAGGTGTGCTCACGTATTGGCAATCCCTAACTCACGTGTTTGTAGTAAAAACGTAGTAGACCATTATGCTTTTCGGTTCATTCACGAGATTGGACCATTGTTAGCTGTGAGCATGCGAAACCACGTGATCATGAATATTTCAATAAGAGGCGGTTTATTATCCGTCTCGGAGAGAAAATAATTTTTACCTAATAATATTTCATAACTTTTAAAAGTGATGGAGTGGAATAGTCTTATTTGCAGAAAGTATATATCTTAGACAACTTGATGAGACACCACCTATATTTATTTCTTTTGAAATAAAACACTAATACGGCATATATCTCTTTAACGCATGTTGCCCTCGAACTCGGTAAATAAATGTATAATATTGACCTGCAATAATTCGTTTCGTTATACCTTTAAGCAGTTGTCCCTATACAAATCTATGCGAAGAAAGTCAAACATTTCTAATGTTTTGGTGAGAGGGCATAAAAAACCCATGTTTAGACCGCTGAGTGAGATGTTGGACAGGTCGACGAGATGTTGGACCGCTTACGTCACAGAATGGGCGGAGCTTAATCTCATTTTCATTCATTGGTGTTCAACAGTGACGGAACTGATGTTACACCACGGAAAACAGTACAAAAGACATGTATGTCAAAAAAGAATAAAATGAAAGGTAAACAAAACATTTATTAACTGAGTTAATTCTCAGGCAAACGCGTTTTGTCGATCCTCGAACCTAACTGTCTGCCTTCGGCCCAATGTTCTTAGGCAGTTTGGTTCTTGGGTCCGACAAAATTTTTATTAACGCATGTTGCCCTCGAACTCCGTAAATGAATGTATAATATTGACCCGCAATAATTCATTTTTGTTATACATTGTACCCTTAAGCAGTTGTCCCTATACAAATCTATGCGAAGAAAGTCAAACATTTATAATGTTTTGGTGAGAGGGCATAAAAAAAATCGATGTTTTACCGCTGAGTGAGATGTTGGACCAGTGGGTGGAGCTTAATCTTATTTGCATTCGTTGGTGTTCAATAGTGACGGAATTGGTGTTACATCATGTAAGACGGTACAAAAGACATGTATGTCATTTTTTTTTTAAAAAGGTATAACTAATAACAAAACATTATTTTGTTATACCTTTAGAATTTGTTCCTATACAAATCTGTACGAAAAGAAGTCCAACATTTCTAATGTTTTGCTGAGCGGGCATAAAAAAATCGATGTTTGACTGTTGGGTGAGATGTCGATGAGATGTTGGACCGCTTACGTCACAGAATGGGTGGAGCTTAATCTCATTTGCATAAGTTTATGTTTAATAGTGATGGACCTGATATATTCATTTTGAAAGAAAGTACAAAATACATGTGTGTCCAAAAAAATTAAAAAGTATAACAAAACATTTATTTACTTTGTTCTCGGGCAAAATGCGTTTTGTCGACCCTCGAACCAAACTGTCTGCCTTCGGCCTAACGGCCTCAGGCATAAAGTTTGGTTCTTTGGTCCGACAATACGCATGTTGCCCTCGAACGAGTCAATAAATGTATAATATTGACCTGTAAGGTCACGTGCAGGTCAATATAACGTAGAATTTTTTTTATCATTATTAGATCTTCACCAATCAGAGAGAGCCGGGGAAATTAATCATATAATAATCGTTCATATTTGCAACATGCAGTTGATTTACAGTATATATATTTTATGCATTTAAGTAATTTTATCGGTATCAACCACGCCACTTAATTAAAAAAGCAATTATTGTGTTCACATGAAACAAAATTTGTTCAATACCTGCTACATGAGAAAAAAAATAGTTGCTGTTACCTCGACATTAAGATGAAATAGGAAGAGAAAAGAAACGGGTGATCGATCTAAAAAAAACTATAAACAAAACAAACCTGCAAGAATTTAAGGTAATAAAACACTGACCCCCGGAAACTCCTGACACAAGATCAGGTGCCTAGGAGGGGAATGCAATCCTTATAGACTGATCACACCCATGCTGAGACTCAAGTGGACGGAACATTTCGTAGTCAAATTCAATATAAAAACAAAAACAAAAAAGGCCTCACAACTGGTATGGAAAAACGGCAGTCAAAATAAGCCAAATGATAGAATATACCGGCATATTTGCTAACAAGGTCATTATATTGACCATAGACCATATCGAATTAAAAGGAGGCTATTGAAATCCCTGTAGCATTTTTTCTAGCTATAGACTAACTCTGTTTGAAAATTGTACTTGTAGTGAAATACGAGGGCTGTTCAA